CTGCAGCAGAGGGGCCGAGAGCTGGCGGCGGCGGCGGTCGTGAAGGGCATCGGTAGCGGCGGTGATGGCAGTGTCGATGTGAGTGTTTGCTGGCTGGGGACCCCGGGGCTGCGGAGCCCGAGGCTGGCGGCCCGGCGGCGAGCGGGAGGCCCGGGCGGCGGAGGGATGCTATGTGCGCGGTGCAGAGCCGGGAGACGCCGCCTGTCGCCGCCGACGGTTGGGCAGACGCGGGAGCCGGGCTCTGCGGCGGAGGGCTCCGTGCACCGCGGCCCGGAGTGGGGGTCCCGGGCGGAGGCGGGGGCAGCGCAGGCCGAGGGGCGTCTGCGATTGTTCTCAACACCCCTCCCCCACCCCGTGTGTCTGTTTGTCACTTGCAGCTGAAGATGGAAAGAGCCAGGCGGAGGGGAGGCGGCGGTGGCCGCGGCCGCGGCGGCAAGAATGTAGGGGGCTCTGGCCTAAGCAAGAGTAGACTCTATCCCCAGGCCCACTACCCCCACTACGCGGCTTCAGCCACCCCTAATCAGGCTGGGGGCGCAGCCGAAATCCAGGAGCTGGCCTCCAAACGAGTGGACATCCAGAAAAAGAGGTTTTACCTAGACGTAAAGCAAAGCTCCCGGGGCCGGTTCCTAAAGATAGCCGAAGTCTGGATAGGGAGAGGCCGGCAGGACAATATCAGAAAGAGTAAACTGACTCTGTCCCTGTCTGTGGCAGCGGAGCTGAAGGACTGTCTAGGGGACTTCATCGAGCATTACGCCCACCTGGGCCTGAAAGGCCACCGGCAAGAGCATGGCCACGGCAAAGATCAAGCCTCCAGGAGGAGACAGAAGCACTCGGCACCCTCCCCACCTGTCTCTGTAGGGTCCGAAGAGCACCCTCATAGTGTCCTCAAAACAGACTACATAGAGAGGGACAATAGGAAATATTATCTAGACCTAAAGGAAAATCAACGGGGTCGCTTCCTAAGAATTAGACAAACCATGATGCGAGGGACTGGCATGATAGGTTATTTTGGTCACAGTTTGGGCCAAGAACAGACTATTGTGCTCCCCGCACAAGGAATGATTGAGTTTCGTGATGCCTTGGTTCAGCTCATTGAAGACTATGGCGAAGGGGACATAGAAGAACGAAGAGGTGAAGATGATGACCCACTTGAACTCCCAGAGGGGACTTCTTTCAGAGTGGACAATAAAAGGTTCTACTTTGATGTGGGCTCTAATAAATATGGAATTTTCCTGAAGGTAAGTGAGGTGAGGCCACCTTACCGTAATACTATTACTGTTCCATTCAAAGCTTGGACAAGGTTTGGGGAGAATTTTATCAAGTATGAAGAAGAGATGAGGAAAATTTGCAACAGCCATAAAGAAAAGAGAATGGATGGCAGAAGGGCCAGTGGTGAAGAACAAGAATGCCTCGACTAGAGTGAAATTGAACTCCATCAGGCAAAATTTAAAATCATAAATTGGCTAAAAGTACTGATCCATAATCATTTGAAGAAGTTTTTCTCTTTTTTTGGCCCTTTGTTATTAGTAATACCTCCAATAGTTTATACTTCAAGGAGTCTGATTCTCATGTTATACATAGAACATTATAATTCTTATGGGAATTCCAGCCTTCCCAGAGCTAAATAGTGTAGCTGCTTCAACTGCTCCAGACTATTGAAGTATGCAAATCAGCACAAAATATGACATTCTGACCTTCTAAATACCATAACTAAGATTTACATTGCACTATAACATGATCCTGAGAACATATACATATACTTAATATGGAAGTGTGAACTTCTATTTAACCAGTTCCCCGAGAAAGTATTCCATCCCTACTTCATTAAAAGCTGCTAAGCTTACCTGTAGCGCAGTTACCACAGAAACAGAAATTGACCTCAAGTATGGTATTAATATATTTCTTTATAAAAGAACATGTAGAAATATATTAGTTCATTGGATAACTGAATATCAAAAAGTACCATGAAAAAATCAAATCTTACAGTTACGATAGTATTCATAATTTCAAATTTTGTGGTAACCCTGCAGTTTATAGTTGCCATATCAAAGCCGTGGGAGAGTTTTAATTGGTTATTCTAATCCCATCTTTACCTCTCTTCACTATACCCTATATTTTTATTGACGTTCCAAAGTTTGAGGAATTACTTTTATGTCGCTGTTTAGTGGGAGGCTTCATCCTATGGCTTTGCTCTGGAAATCTTGGTGTTTTAGCCTTTCGTGCTAATTTGAAGGTTGTGAGAGTTTTTTTCCCAAAATATATCATGGACTCAAGGTGTTATATTTTATGCTTCTTCTTTAGCACTATTTCAGAGGGGTTGGTGCACCAGTTAGCTGATACAAAAATACATCTGTAATAATACATTTTAGTAGCACTTTTGCTACCCTTAAAACAGTGTCAACACTTCCAATAGAAACCTGGCTTTTACAGGTATTTTAATTCCAGGGAAAAAAAAAACAACTCTTTTTCTAAAAAGCACTTAGAATATAAATTTTCAGCCTGGGAAAATTATTTAAGGATTGGTTATAAACATATTTGAAAGGAAAATTCAGGCATTTTCCAAGGTGCTCTTTATGATACTTAAAAAGGTTTACTTTACGCAAGACTCACCCATTTACCTGTATTAAAAATTACTTTCCAGGAAGTGCCACAGCAATTTTTCAACACCTAAGCAATTTTTAAACAAGTGGATAAAGTGTATATGTGTACCAACCCACCCTGTATTAACTGACTGGAATTTTATCTGTTGAGCTGCATTTTATTCTGATTGAAATTATTGTCTTTTATCTTGGCTTTATTCACCTCCCACACAATAAGTCCATATAATCATGTTTAAGAGCCAGACACTGATTTCAACCCCCAAATATAGCTCTCATTGATGAGAGCTGGCTGCATGGATTGAGATCAGAATGTAGCTCTCCTTTTATATAAGTAGTTTAAAATTATTTTAATAATTTTTTCCTTCAGCAGTTTGTCCCTGAATCCATTTAAGTAAGGTCACTAAGAGAACTTTGTGAGTCAAGGAAAGAGTAGTACTGGCTTATCTTATTTAAAAACAAGCAATCAGTAACCCAGACATACATGCTGGTATTGGTTTTCAGATTGTATTTCATGTTTCCTCAAGTAGTATGAAGGAATCTCATTAGTTCATTATAATTGTGGACCATCTGGATTACTATGGAACAACTGAAGGTTAGAAGATAATGTTAGTACTAGAGTTAATAGCACATGGTGGGTGTTGAGACTCTAAAAGTAGCAAGGATCTTTAAACAGTCCTAACTGTAAAATAACTATTGTAGACTTGATAAAAAGTAGTTTTTGGTATATGAAGGAGTGATGTGCACTTGAATTACTGTACTACTGATTGTTATTGCTGCCCATCATAGTGCCTATTAATAATTATCAACCTGTCAGATTTTGGCAAACGGGAGCGATGAATGCTCCAGTATTCGAGTGTTCCTATCACTATTGCTATGACTATATACTCTCTCTTAAAACCTTCCCTCCTAAAATATTTATATCCATTAAATCTAAATGATTTCTTTTTTGGTTTTTAGTCTGATAAGATTTGAGTGTTTATGTCTATATATATACATACATGTGTGTATATATACATATACACAATACTATGTCAGACTTAAAGAGAAATACCTTTAATTCATTGTATATAAATATTAATTTTGCATTAATTATTTAAGTCAAGAATTAGTTAGTAGCCAAATCTTCTACATTGTATGTATACTTCAAAGTTATTACCATCTCAAAGCTATAGATTGGTAGATGCATATATACCGGCAATTGAATATACATTAGAATCACTAAACCTTCTGCCAGTCCTTTTGTTTCACTTTTTTATATGTATTCATTGAAAAATGAAATGATGTTATGATTTTTTGATACTTAAAATTCCCAATTATTCATTAGCCATAATCAAATAAGATCCAGTTCAAAACTCTGGTATTAGGACATGTATTGCCATGTATCTTATAAAATAAGCTACTATTTTTATCTGTGCAATATACATTTTATTTATTGTCATTTGTAACATAAATGAAGCTGCAAGTGTACATGGTATTCTTCAAAATAATAGGATCCCAGCCTTGAAGACATTAAAACTCTTAAGGCAACTGGATGTTAGAAGTCAAAAAATGAGCATTCCAAGTTAGTAACCAAAATTACTAGTTCACTGTATAATTCTAAAACACTGATGATGTTTGCACATAATAACCCAAGTATAATGTGGTATAGACTCAAAACTGTAATAATATAAGCTAATAGTATGAAATTTGGAAACGGGTTCCTCCTAATAGTTGGCAGTGTGCTCCTAGCAATTGAAAGCAGCACTAATCTGTTGCTTATATGCAAAAGATGCAATGTATTATAAAAGTATTAAAAGTTCTGCCACATTTTATAATTTTCCTTGTTAA